AAATATGGCTTTCCACATAATTCTATATGTATTATAGGATCGAGTATGAAATTTTGTTTACTCACTTTCAATTGAGTATATGTTTCCCGCATTTTCTTGTTATGATTGGAAATCGTGTATTTTACATATCCATACGATCGAGTCTTTGGGTTTCTGAAAGAGTGTAAAAAGAAGTGCTTCGAATTATTGCTATTTGACTCAGACCTGTTCTAAAAAAGTTGAGGTATTTCAAATTATTTGTTGACACGAACAAAGTTAGGGAAAACCTTTGAAATAATTTCAATATTGGACCTTCGACATATAATAGTTCTGAATCTCTTTAGAAAGAAGATATTTTGTCTCATGGTAGCCTGATCTAGTCCCCTTACAAAACTTTCGTTATTGGGTTAACCATATACTTCATATGGTTTCAGCAATTCACATGGCATCAACATCAAATGATAGAAGTATCGGATAAGAATCTACAACGTACTAGAACACCCTTGTTGATGATCTTTTACTCCGACAACATCTAGGGTTCCTTGAACAATGTGATATCTCACACCGCGTAAATCCTTAACCCTTCCTCCTCTTACTAATAATACATAATGTTTGTGAATTATGGCCAATACCAGGTATATAAGAAGTGATTTCAAATCCAGAGATTAATCGTACTCTAGCAAATTTACGTTAGGCAGAGTTTGGTTTTTTGGGGGTGAGTGAAAAAGCTGACAGATAAGTCACCCTTATTGTCACTCTACAGAACCGTACCTGATATTTTCACCTCATACGGCTCCTCGTTCAATTCTTTTGAAGTAATTGGATCATTTTCCTCGTTCGAGAATCTCCTCCCTTCTTCCACTCCATCCTGACGAGTAACTAAGACCAATTAAGTCGTGTTTTCATGTTCCAATTTAAAACTTTCCAGTTTTTACTATGGTATTCTTTTTACTAAACAAATGTAGATCCAATCACGATCTTATATTCTAATAAGAACAAGAGATCTTTCTCAATCAATTCTTTATTTCTATTTTATTTTCTTCTATTTATATCTTTTTAATTCCCTTCATCATTTATTAAATCCCATAGGTTTGATCCTTTAGAATCTGATCCATTTTCTCATCGAGTGAAGGGCACGAAATCAATCAAATTTATTTTTCAATCAAAACAAAAGTACGATAGTGAGTGTGGTGTGTCAAATCCTCGATGATTTCTTATTCACCTATCCTTATCCCATATGTACAGCATTTGAATCAATAAATAATATTTTCTTCTATATGAATCGATATTATTACATTCCAATTCCTTCCCGATATCTCCCAAAGAAAATCCCAAATTGACGGTTTGGTGTGAGCTTATCCATGCGAATGCACTCTTCGAATAGGAATCAATTTTTCAAAAGATCCTGACTTTTCTGTTTTAGTGGGTTGTCCGAGAACCTTTCGATGACATCTTTGAAGGGATATCTATATGATCCGATCGATTTTACAAGGCTTGCAGTAGCAATGGAACCGGAGAAAATCTACAGAAAAGACAATTCTTTTCTATTATATTTATTATAATATTATATTAGTTAGTTAATGATCCCAATCGATGAGTATACATGTGCAATAACTGGTTTTTGCGATAATTTGTAAAATACATGTGCTTGAGACAACGAACAATGAAGCTTTGAATTAGTAGTCTTCTTATTAGAGATAGTGGAAAGCAGCTTTCTAGTCAAAATAAAGATAAAGTGGATGATTTTTTTTTTTATTCCTTTCATCAATTTCATTTTGATTTTTTTATCATTGGAAATGTATTTATCTATAATCTTTTTTATTGATTCAAGAAAAAATTGTGTATTGATCCTAGAGATGTTAATCATACATAGAAAGATATTTATGTGTATTCTTTCAATGAATCATTTCATAAAATAGCGCCATTTACAGATTAATCGAGTACTTCTTCTTTTGGATACTTGCCAAATAAGTTTTTGTGATTCTGATATTTTATCACTATAACTAGTCTCATCAAAACTGATATTGATACCTATAGTTAGGAAATTTGTTTTCTTGTCTCTTGTGATCATGATCCTTTCTATTTGATCTTTGATTGTGGTTGTCATATCAGACAGATCCTTTCTTCTTCTTTTCTTGTCAGTGAAGAATTTGTCCAATCCATCCATCCAATTCTAATCGGCAATTCATAAATTGTATTATTATTACTAATGGAATCTTTCCTATTTTCACTTCCATCATAGACTTTCTTTAGTCCGAATAAGAAAACGGGATTTGCTTTTGTAAGTTCTTCCATTACTCTTTTTATAATAGAACACCCATCTTTTATTTTACATCCCAAATAGGGCTATAATTGGAGATACCATTGTTTCTAGTACAGAAGTTCCTATATCAATGGGAAATATCGTACCTTTGAGTGCGGTTTGAACCATTGATTTACGTAATTGGAAGTAACCAATTACATTTATGACAAAAACGAGAAATCGATTACTGATCCAATTTCAGTACCTTTACGGGATAGACCTCAATAGAAAACTGAAGAGTAACAGCAGCAGGTGATTAAGTTCAGTGGTTCCTCATATAAAATGATTGACTCTAAAGATATGGTAATATGGGGAAGACTAAATTGTTAGAAGCACAGACAAAACTGAAAGCTCCCCGTGTTTTAAAGAGAGGGGGATGGGTTATTCACATTTCACTTTATGATCAGAGGCAAAAATGAAAGCTAAGTAATGATAATTCTAAAGATCCCCCCAGGAAAAAAGGGAGATGTCTCCTACATTACTCGTAATATGTGGAAGTGTCGAAGTAATTTCATATAGTCATTCGAACTAAGTGCTACATGAAGAACATAAGCCTGATGACGGAATGGGGAGACCTAAGATGTAGAAAATCGTGGGATAAGTGATTCAACATATTTGGATTTCTATATATCTACTCATGTGGTACTTTATCAAAAGGAAGAATCGACTTCAACCAATATGCCCTTAGGCACAACCGTACATAATATAGAAATAACACTTGGAAAGGATGGACAATTAGCTAGAGCAACAGGTGCTATAGCGAAACTGATTGCAAAAGAGGGTCAATCAACCACATTAACGTTACCATTTGAGGAGGTTAGTTTTATATCCAAAAACTGCTCAGCAACAGTCGAACAAGTGGGTAATGTTGGGGTGAACCAGAAAATTTTAGGTAGAGTTGAATCTAAATGTTGGCTAGGTAAGCGTCCTATGGTAAGAGGAGTGGTTATGAACCCTGTAGACCATCCCCATGGGGATGGTGAAGGGAGGACCCCAATTAGTAGAAAAAAACCCACAACCCCTTGGGGTTATCACGCACTTGGAAGAAGAAGCAGGAAGAAGAAAAAATATAGTGATAGCTTCATTCTTCGTCATCATAAATAGAACAAGTCAGGCAAAGTTTTTCACTTGATAAAAAAAAAAAAGTTCTTAATTGTCTTGTTCACTTAAAAAATGCCCTTTTCAAGGTAATCATTTATTATAAAAAATTCATAAAGTTAACATGAGAAAGGAAAAATAAATCATAGTAACTTAGTCCCAAGCATCTACCATTATACCCACAGTGATCGGTCATACAATTGTTATTCATGATGGAAAAGAGCATTTACCTACTTATGTAACAGATCATATGGTAGGTCACAAATTCAGAGAATTACACCTACTCTTGCTTTCCGGGGACATGCGAGAAACGATAATAAATTTCGTCGTTAATTAAGTGTTCATCATTCATTTTCATTGACGGGAGGTAAAAAATTATGATAAAGAAAATCTCAGGTACAAAAA